GCGGCGGCAGAGGTCCCCGGGACCCGAGGCGGAAGGTGCGGCTGCTCCTCCTCAACGCCGCCGCCGCTTCTGGCATCATCCAGAAAAAGCATCCAAAACAAAAGACTGTCAACGACAAAGATGATGAAGATGAGGATGAGGATGAGCTTTGCTACAAGAGACGAAGATTCCAGTCATGACATGTGATTTACCGGATGCAGCACACACTCTCAGAGCTACACACACACATTGCGTGAGGACACGCGCGCACACACTCACATAGACACGAGCACCGGTGAGGAAATTATGGCATGTTGGAAATTCTGCTGTGATAAGCGGAGTTGGAAAAGACCATTGTGGCAGCTGACGGAGGGGGGGCGAGTGGAGTCTTAAAGTTGCAGCTCTGCATTTTTTCTACAGACCGATTCTACTACTACTACTACTACTACTATTACTACTATTACTACTATTACTCCTTCTACTATTACATTAGGAGCCAAAACCAGGTCCAGAAAATATAGAATAAAACGTGAAAGTGAGACAGATAAATACAACTTGGTCTTACAATAAAAAAAATGGTTGATGGCAAAAGATGAATAAATATTCAACAACTAGCTAAAAGATTTAATTAGAAGAACAGCATAAACAAGAGTGGACCAAAAGAGAAAAAAGTTAGCAAAGTAATGGAAAGAATTGCAAAATATACAGTATGAAGCAAAAATTAAAAAACCTTTTTGGTAAACACATTAATACACAAAAACGTGTAAAACTAGCAAAGTAATGGAAAGAATTGCAAAAGATACAGTATGAAGCAAAAATTAAAAAAACTTTTTGGTAAATACACACAAAAAATTATAGTAATTTATATAATGGAAGTTATTAAATGCATTACCACGTTTCAAAACCTGCAGGAACAAGTGACCAAATATTACTAATCAGTCATTTTCTCAGTGTTCACTTTGGGCCACATTAATGTTGAATCTGCGGAAATATACAGAACATCGACCCAGAGCAAAATAATGCCCAGGCACTCTCTCTCAGAGAGAGAGAGCAACCACAGAAAGAATAACACAATATTTCAGCTCATTAAATATTAAAAACTGTCAAAAGTTGAGTCTGAATGTAAGAGATAGTTCACATTTATCAGTCACGGTGTTTGATGTACATACAAATGAGCCTAACATACCCACAGTTAGCTAAGAAGATCCATAACAACCTAAAAAATAGACAAAATGCTAAGCGTCAAGAAGACTGTCTAAAAAAATTTTAACATTTGCCGGTAAACCAAGGAGCTAAGCTAAAGGTTACACCTGTCTATCAATCAGATGCATTGTCATCAACAACAGATGACACTGTGTAACTGTCCATGGTGCTGAATCTCGTGTTTTAAGTACAGTATTTATAGCACAGCACTGCTGCCCTCTGGACAGTAGTGGACAGGACAGGGTGTCTTTTTTTGTCACCTGGATAAACACACACACATACACTTGTATACAGCATGTATACATGAAAAATATTAACATGGTGTGTTGGGAGCTCTGTCATGTTCTGGGTGCTGCATTTCAGCTGGTGTTTTAGGGATTTGGTCCCAATACACAAAACCATGGAATAACAGCTTTGTGATGGAATGAGTTTTTCTTTAAAAATCAGCAACAAAAAATACAACTACTACTTAGACCAATTCATACTCTGTTTAAAAACATTTTAAAAAGTCTTTTATGATCATTAGGGCTGCCCTTTTTCTAGTATCAACAGAATTTCTGTGGTTTGAGGTTCGTTCTGTGTTTGCTATCTTTATGATTTCCTCGGTCTGTTCCTTTGGTTTTGTCAGTACAGATGAAATAACACAGGCCGCCGACCCCTTACTACTTGATGAAGTGCAAACAGTGAAGAGCTCCAGCCACGGGGTGTGATGTATTACAGAGACAGAAGGATTACATCGCTGTTTTTTCCCCGTCTCTGCTCCTCCTCCTGAGAAAATAACGCTATCACAGCTTATCACATCTCCTCTGTCTGTCGGCATGACAGCGCAGAAGGCAGGATCCACATTTTCCTTTTGAATCGTGTTTATCATATATTTGTACAAAGAGACCGAACAGTTTGGTGGCTTGAAGTGCAAAACATCCCCGAGCTTATAATTATTAGTAGCATCACTACAGGCATCGAGAGAATCCCACAATGTTGGACTATGAAAACCACTGTCCTAGGCCTCCAGCCCAGAGAATCTTATCTAAGAACAAGTTTGAGAAAGTTAAGCCGGGCATCATTATTAGATTAGAACGGTCAAAGAAGAATTTAGCTTGGAAGGATTTTCATCCTTTAGTTGAATTTCCATGTTTGGTTATTTTGTCGTTACAGCTGCTATACGACTTTGATTTAGCATTTTATTACTTGTTGCCGTGCCTTTTATACCTCACATAAAAACTATCTCGACTTCTTTCAACCGTAACCATCTGCTCGTCACATCTGTTCCCTCTTCCCACAATAACCTGGTTAAACCTGACTTCTCTGTCCTTGAACTGAAGCAAGAATCTCCAGCTCCGTCTCTTGAATGTGTAAAGAACCGAACTCTTGTTGCGCCCAGTTCCTCATTGGCCGAGAGGGGACTCAGTTGCCAGGCAACCGTACAGCTGTGTTTGGGGGCGGGGGGTGATGGGGTTCAGCTGACAGGCAGCTGCTAATGAAGCCAAGGTGGAAAACAAGGGGGGAGGGGAGCAGTCAACCCCTTTTTTCCACATGCTCCACACGTTCTGAGTTTGGTTCCACTCATTCAAATGGGCGTAGGGATACGCCCCACTACTCCCACTGAGGGCAAGAGTCAGCTGCCTAATCCAACCTCCCCCTTCCATCAAACATCCACCCCACTGTCATCAAGCAACAACTACTGTTTTACACAGTGAAGTGATGACAACCAGGAGCTCTTTTATTTCTGCATCAGAGTTTCAAAAAAACATTTCAGAAGGTGCTAACGCACAGATGGCATTTACGCACTTGTGATGACTGTGTTGATTACTGGGTGTCAAGGCTGACGCTCCGGTCACACATACGTAGAGATTGTGAGGAAGCATAAAGAGAGGTAGATATTTCAAAATAAATATAAAATAATACTTGATTTAAACTGCCAGATTCTAGTTTTTCTCTATGTCTGAGTAGACTGCGTGGATGATGACATACTCACCGACTACTTTGACAAAGTTTTGGACAAAACTACAGGCACGTTAAACAAGCAACCGTCAAGATGCACCGTCGTGACTAAAATCCACCACCTCTATTGAAACTAAATTATATTATATTTTTCTTGGCATTTTCCATATAAACAAAAAAAACACATACAACTACCTGCTGTTATTTGTCTTTGTCTTTCAGTCAATTAACAGAAAAAGAAAGTCTTTGTGATTTTTACAAATTTGGATTTATGTTGATTAGTCACGATTAATCAGATTTTTTTTTTCAATTGACAGCCCAAGTAAAATCAACAGAAACCCCGAACAAACGTTACACTACGACAACACCAGGGCCAGCATCGTGACAGCGACAGAGTTACACTCACCATTATTGCCTCTCCCAGAGCTTCCCATGTTTGCCGTTACACATTAGAGCTGTGTGGTCCAGATGAACAGCATCGTTCATCGTAGTCTGACTGTAGCACTTAAACAGTCTGTGCAGCCACTGAAACGGACCATACTGAGCTGGTACAAAAACAAACAACTTGTTTCTCAATTTCCTTTCTCCTGGTTCAGACTTGTTTCACTGAAATACTCCAAAATACTATAATAATACCTCAATGTTCTTGTTTGCTGAGTTGTAGTACTTGAGTCTGGCACAAAGAAATGGGATTAGTTGAATATTTAGACCTTACTTGTAGTATCCTGACCTTGATGACAAAGATGAGGACTGACCACTTACTTCCAGAACTATAAAAAAACCTTTAGTAACGGCGACTCTGACTCGTTTAAATTAAATTTCCTCATTGTCTTCTGCTCTGACATGACTTAAACATTTTCTCTGGTGACTTCTTTGGACGCCACTAAACATAAACTACCGTGACTTGGACTTGGAATCACCAAACAATGACTGGACTCAAACACCACATATTGGAAGTAGCGTTGTGTTTCATAAACACCACAAAGACTTGGGCTGGGAGTAATGCAAGCTCTGAGACAATTGGCTGATTATATGGTAAATCCTCCTCTGGGATCACAGGCCAATATTTTGTGGCTCCTGGAGTAGACGTCCGATATCTGAGCCAAGACTCCACCTTTAATTCCCTGTTGACTGTTTTACAGTCTGGCTAGAAATGTGAGACTCCAGAATCAAGTTGGAATTGAGAAAGAGCAATCAGGTATGATTGATTACAGTAGAAACCAGACTCTACTGATTCAAAAACATTTTTTCATGAATTTCTCCAAATACTACCTGGATAAACAATGACTGAGTGACAGAATTTAAGTATCCGTTGTCATCTTCTTCCACAATGGCAACACATCTTCAAGTCCTTTGGCGTCTGTCCATCACAGTCTGCCCTCCTTATTTCAAAACCTGCGCCACAGACACTGAGGATTACATTGTCTCATTATGTCTGACATGTTTGGTGCGTAATGAATCTTGCAGCGTGAAGAAAACTGAATCTGGAGAAGTCTCTTGAGGGATAAAGGCAGGCCGTCAAGGACTTTCACTGCTCTCCCCTCAGGCTGTGGCTGATGGATGACGTCCCATAAAGGTTTTATGAGGCCAATGTTAAAGGGCCTTGTAGCTTTAACCACTGTGGTTCTCACTGTATGTTGCAGAGAGATGATGGACCACCTGTCTGCTGCACCGCCAGACCATTCATTTATATGTAGAAGTCATTTCACGTGGTAATAAAAATACTTTTATTCCTTATTCATAGAGTCCAGATCCTTCCTTCAGGCTTCTGTTGTGTATTTTTCTTTGTTTGTCCATTAATCTCAAAAATTTACTTATTTCCAGCAAACGGTTGTCATAAAATTACAAGTGGCCTCCTCCTGCCATCGTCCAAGCAGGGCATCATTTCAATCAGAATGCCTTGTGCTCTTCATCTTAAAGGCGAAACATCTCAGCCCCGCAGAGAGTCCAGACGCACAGCAGACTATAAATTATTCAAGACGGAGCAAGGGCAGAACACACACTGGGTCCCGAAAGAGATCCCACCGATGCTGGACTGATTATCTGTATCTGGTATAGGTGAAGAAGGTTCCTCTGAGACCATCCAGGATTTTGGAAAAAAAGAGTGGAGAAAATCACCAAAGAGAGGGAGATAAAAAACATAAATGTTGTAAAATGTTGACGGAGGTTGATTACAAAAACAACTGATTTCAGAGAAGGAACAGACTGGAATGGGCTCTGACTGTCAGGACAACAGGAAGTGTGAAGAAAAAATTGTAGTAAAACAGAAAAGATAAGTTGGAGTCGACTTGGGATGGAAGCAAGTAAATCACAATGGGACTCATTATTACAAGGAATGTAAATGGTGAGATGTGAAAAAATGTGAACAATCTGGTAAAATGTAAAAATTTAAGGTAAAATGTAAACTTTAAGGTAAATGTTATGGTAAAATGTAAACAATAATGTAAAATGTACGTAAGTATTAAAAAGTAAACATAAATTCAACATCAACTACCAAAGTGTGGTTTGATTATTATAGTGTCCAATCCCAAGGTTGGTGTCTTTTGAACAATGGTGTAAGACCAGACCACAAACAGAAACCCTGTGTCTAAACTTTAGACAATTCCATGAACCTTTGTTAACAAAAAAAAAATTTTTTTTTTAAGTTCTTTGTTGTTCATTTTTACTGGTACCTTTGACAAACCAGTTTAGTAAAAAGTCCTAACTAGATTTTTTTTTTTTTTTTTTTTTTTGTGAGCGCAGGTTGGAAGATACCATCTCCACTGATTCCACCAAACCTCATCATATCCTGTAGCTGTCTGCCCACCACTGTCTCCAGAGCTCTGCTCCTGTGTGCCTGTGCCAAGGATCTGACAGATACTCAGAGTTCAGATTACTGCAGGGAACTCTGTGTTATCAGTCACTTCCCTAATCTGGAGTCCCTCAGCCACCAGTCTGGCTCTGGGCTCTGGGCTCTGGGCTCTGGGTTCCACCCAAGAATCTCTGACTTTGTTGGAGTCAAGTAAATCAACTTATAGTCACAAATGTTACCAAACTCTGTCAAGTAGAATCAGCTGTGCCTTTACATGTCAGTTTGTCTGGACACAAAGGTGTTTCAGGATCATTGAGGGTTTTTTTGTCCCTTGGGAATTTGCAGGAACACTGCAAGAATGAAGCTAAATGCAATTTTAAGCACTGGACATGTCCCACTCAATCATGGCAGGACAGACAGTATCGACCTGAGGCTGAATTCAGCCAGGACGGAGCTCATTGGACTGGATTTATTCCAGAGGTATTGGCTTGTGCCTCCTAACCCAGAGTGACCACACTATGAGTTATGTGATTCAGTACTGACTGACACATGGTGCTGCATCATACTGACATCGCCAAAAGTTTTGTACCATCAGCATCATTAGTGAAACTAACCACAGAGAAATAATCAAATTCTGCCTCACACATAACAATTTGTTGTTTAACAATGTTTTCAATTGTTAAGCTGTGTTTAACTGTTAAGTTTTTATTTAAAAAATACATTTCTAGGGAGTATATTAGCTTGATTCAATTAAAGATATTAACATTAACCACAAGCACTGAGAATGTATGACAAATCAATCAATCAAGAATATTAGAAAATTAAGAATTCCAAGTTATTATATGGAATAGACATCAAGTTGTAACAGATGTAAAAAAAAAAACAAGTGTCACCCATAGAATACAACTGTGCAGGAGGACTTAAAATTACATTAAGTACCAGGGGTCTGCAACTGTTAACATCAAAACAAGTCATTTTTAATCATTTTCCATCTACTGCTGCTACTGAATTGTTAGTACCCCTTAGAGGAAATTCACAGACCAGTCGTAGACCCCTGACATACACTATGTTGGGAAAAAGCTAAAGGGCTATTCCTGGTCTGACTGAGCAACAATATTCATCTGTAAAGCCAGTTCTGCTGTTTCACACACACACACACACCTGTGACTCCAGGCTGAAGTTAAGTCATAAGAATGCATCTATTTATTCTCTCAATAAAGAATCAAACCTTGAGTTTGATTCTTTTTTTTAACCAATAGTTTAATAGGATTTAGTTTTAATCTGGTTTAAGAAACACAGTGTTTTAGTTATGCTAACCTGAGCAGGTTTCTGTCTCCTGTCCCTTCACGTTCCTGTTCATCTTAGAAATGTGTCAAACAGCTTGTAGGTGCATTACTGCCCCCTTTTGGACTGGGGTGTGAGAATCAGCATTTATTTCTCAAACATTTCTTTAATAAAATATCTCGTAAAATCTGTTTCGGAACGAGTCATACATTTGATTATGATTTTTTAGATTTTTACCTTTTTAGTTTTATATAATTTAAGAAGAAAATAGTTCATTTGTTTAAATTTGTTTATTATTATTTTGTAATAATGCTACAGACGCCCAGTTCACATTTTATAGACTGCGGTTAGTCAATTTGAAATAATTTGGATATATTTAGATATCAACTAAAACTATCAACTAAGATTCTAATAATTCATCTGGAAGCTTCCGGTCAGAATGGAAACTGGTTGTTCGCTTGTTTGTTTTTTTCTGTTAAATTACCGTAAAACCTCACACAAACGTGAATCATTTCCTTTGCAGGGTGGGAGTGAGCGTAATCGCTTTTTACTCACCAAAACTCCTGAATATGTGTACATCCTCATTTGTGTCCTTAAAAAGAGACCAATCCATCCGTTGCACAGATTATCTGCACAGTTCTTCATAAAGAAAAAACTTAATTTTTTCACGCAAATCAAAAACTGGATACAGTTTCCCATATTGGAGACTGCGCGTTCTTTGACCAGCCAATGAAATCACTTGAATAGTCAACGTGACCATATGCCAGTGTAGCGGCCTCAGTACAATACGATTGACTGGTGAAAGAAACGGGGTTAAACACTAGGTTTTATGTTAAAGTAATACGGAACTCATGCAATCAGTTTGGGATATTTGTGACTACCCCAGTCAGTCCACTAGGTGGCAGAGGTCCAGAAACAGAAATGCAAAGCATAGGTTAATAGCAGTCCAGCAAACAGAGTAAAAGTAACATAACCTGGAGCTGAAGAAAGAACGTTATTCTGTGCTGTTGGCCGATGGCTATGTTCTGTGTGTTTCAGACAAAGAGACGTTAGTAAACATTTGTGCTGTCATGAAGGAGCCAACTCTTGTCTTTGAGCCTGCAACACCAGGTAGACGGCTTTGAGTATCAACTCTGATACCAGTATCAAATCTGTATCAAATCTGATTGGTTGAAGAAACCATTTTATTACCATTGTAATCAGCTCTCAGTGCTCTTTGGTGATTTAAAAGGTTTTGGGGTAAAAGAGGACACAAAGTTGTATAAATAAACATGACTTAGCGCTTTGTTGGCCTTCCAGGTATGTACTATACATGTACATGTGTACACACTGTCAGTGTGTTTTTATGCAAAACGTTCAATTAAATGAACTGGTTTTTTGATGTCTGTACATTCACTTTAGTCTGCCCCCAGCTGTGTGCACATAAGAATGCATCTATTTATTCTCTCAATAAAGAATCAAACCTTGAGTTTGATTCTTTTTTTTAACCAATAGTTTAATAGGATTTAGTTTTAATCTGGTTTAAGAAACACAGTGTTTTAGTTATGCTAACCTGAGCAGGTTTCTGTCTCCTGTCCCTTCACGTTCCTGTTCATCTTAGAAATGTGTCAAACAGCTTGTAGGTGCATTACTGCCCCCTTTTGGACTGGGGTGTGAGAATCAGCATTTATTTCTCAAACATTTCTTTAATAAAATATCTCGTAAAATCTGTTTCGGAACGAGTCATACATTTGATTATGATTTTTTAGATTTTTACCTTTTTAGTTTTATATAATTTAAGAAGAAAATAGTTCATTTGTTTAAATTTGTTTATTATTATTTTGTAATAATGCTACAGACGCCCAGTTCACATTTTATAGACTGCGGTTAGTCAATTTGAAATAATTTGGATATATTTAGATATCAACTAAAACTATCAACTAAGATTCTAATAATTCATCTGGAAGCTTCCGGTCAGAATGGAAACTGGTTGTTCGCTTGTTTGTTTTTTTCTGTTAAATTACCGTAAAACCTCACACAAACGTGAATCATTTCCTTTGCAGGGTGGGAGTGAGCGTAATCGCTTTTTACTCACCAAAACTCCTGAATATGTGTACATCCTCATTTGTGTCCTTAAAAAGAGACCAATCCATCCGTTGCACAGATTATCTGCACAGTTCTTCATAAAGAAAAAACTTAATTTTTTCACGCAAATCAAAAACTGGATACAGTTTCCCATATTGGAGACTGCGCGTTCTTTGACCAGCCAATGAAATCACTTGAATAGTCAACGTGACCATATGCCAGTGTAGCGGCCTCAGTACAATACGATTGACTGGTGAAAGAAACGGGGTTAAACACTAGGTTTTATGTTAAAGTAATACGGAACTCATGCAATCAGTTTGGGATATTTGTGACTACCCCAGTCAGTCCACTAGGTGGCAGAGGTCCAGAAACAGAAATGCAAAGCATAGGTTAATAGCAGTCCAGCAAACAGAGTAAAAGTAACATAACCTGGAGCTGAAGAAAGAACGTTATTCTGTGCTGTTGGCCGATGGCTATGTTCTGTGTGTTTCAGACAAAGAGACGTTAGTAAACATTTGTGCTGTCATGAAGGAGCCAACTCTTGTCTTTGAGCCTGCAACACCAGGTAGACGGCTTTGAGTATCAACTCTGATACCAGTATCAACTCTGATACCAGTATCAACTCTGATACCAGTATCAACTCTGATACCAGTATCAACTCTGATACCAGTATCAACTCTGATACCAGTATCAACTCTGATACCAGTATCAACTCTGATACCAGTATCAACTCTGATACCAGTATCAACTCTGATATCAGTATCAAATCTGATTGGTTGAAGAAACCATTTTATTACCATTGTAATCAGCTCTCAGTGCTCTTTGGTGATTTAAAAGGTTTTGGGGTAAAAGAGGACACAAAGTTGTATAAATAAACATGACTTAGCGCTTTGTTGGCCTTCCAGGTATGTACTATACATGTACATGTGTACACACTGTCAGTGTGTTTTTATGCAAAACGTTCAATTAAATGAACTGGGTTTTTTTTATGTCTGTACATTCACTTTAGTCTGCCCCCAGCTGTGTGCACATAAGAATGCATCTATTTATTCTCTCAATTATTTTATTCACCTTTTCATTTCAGACCCTCCAGACTTTTGCTCGTCCACAGGAAGTGTCTCCTAGCAACTGTTTTTCAATCAGAAGCCTTTGGACAGCAAACATTTCGTGCACAGAGGAGTGCAGTGGCGCAGCAGTGTGGTGGGAAGGATGAACTGCAACAAAAAGGAGAATAAACCTGCAGATGTGGAAGATTTTCTACAAGTGAATGAGCCATTGAATCTACAATTTACTGAAACACTTGTCCTGATCAAGTCATGTTTACAACAGTGATCTGGTTGTCAAACATTTTACATGTTAGTTTTAAATACAGGTGATGAAAGCTGGCTTAGCACTTAGCAGTGGTGTCATGGCTGTAAGAGAGAAAAAGCAGCAGAGAAAGCAAAGAAAATATGAGAAAAGAATATATAATAGAAATGTGATCCTGCAACTCAAATGTTAATCTGTCCTAGAAGCCTTAGATTAGAGAGATATATAGAACGAAGGGAACGCCCAACTCCCTTGGATAAATAATGTCATAACTGGAGATCAAACAAAGGTGGTTGGGTGGGGCGGGTGTACAAATATAGTTTAAAAATTTTATTTGTACTTTCACATGATCCGATACAGCATGTTGGCTGTACTGGCCTGCCAAGTTGTTCTGTGTGGCCAGCGAGAACTTAAAAAGCATTTAGTAAAGTCCATGCAGCAGTGTTTCTTAACTTTCTTAACTAGATTTCTTTATTATTATTATTATTATTATTATTACACAGTGATGAACAATATTTGTAGCTTGAATAAATAATAATCAATCGCAGAAACATGTATCAGTCTGTAATAGAGTAGTTACATCTATACCAGAGGTTCCAAGGACTGGTCAGTGTAAGTAGATATTAGTGAAAACCTTAATGCCTTAGAATTAACTAGTAGTGAAATTACTGTGTCATAAAAGTGAAGCTTCAAGAATGGAAAACTACATAATGTATAATGTATCCTTCCTGTTGTTAAAGATATAGGGCGGAACAACCTGGCACCTGAACAAAACATCTCACTATGACAGTGTGTATGTCTGAGTGATAAATGTCACAGTAACCGTTGAGTTTCAGGACACGGGGTCCCAGCAACAGCAGCAGAAGTTCGAGAAGAAGGACAAGGCCATCCAATCAGAAGAGAACAACGCTTGCGTGCACAAATCTGTTACGCTTAAAAACCTGGGTCAGGGAAAGATAGTTGGTCAGACTTCGTGGGGTGACATCTTATGTTGTTAGTCAGGAACGCGTAGATCTGACCCAGAGTTCTGGAACTGCCTATTTTGCGGATTCTGTAATAAACACACACAAATTAAAGAACACGATGGCTCTGACTCACACATATAGGGTTTCGATAGAATGAGCAGAACCCAACATCAGCCAGTACCACCCGTTACTACGGACTGGTAGCAAGGTGCTGAGCATTGAAGGATCATTACATTTTCAAAATAAAACATCTTTTAGACTTTATTCTCTTTGTATCAGAGTCTGAATGACATATATTTATATGTTACCAGATTATCTTTGAATAAAGAAAGTAAATCAATATAACTGGATTTCCTTTGAATGAAGTAAATTAGTAAAAAATTAAGTATATGTTTTGGTCCCACTGCGGCCCGGTACCAAATGACCTATGGACTGGTACCGGTCCATGAACCAGGAGTTGAGTACCCTTGATCTATAGAGTCTTCCATTTACAACCGGCCCTTCAAGGGGAACTGTATTGCTGATGTTGCCCCTGTGTAGGACTGTAACTTTACATATATACATATATGTGACCAGAGTGCAGCTGCACTTTCTTGTGGTTTTGGGACATAAACTTTCTGTTGCAGATAAAAGCAGACCTCCTACTGCTTGTCCAGCTGCCTCCACAAGGACCTGACCTAAAGCCGCAGAAGAATGCAAGCCAACGTGCGCGCTTGTAAGCAGTGCAAAGCCGGAACGTGACAAAGCGCAATCGTTTCCTTGCTGAAAGTTCAAGGGATTGGCTTTGTTTTCCTCATCTGGGTGGATGGGAGGGTGAGGACAGAACCAATGAGGGGAGGGATACACGTGAGGGGAACATTGGGACTAGTAGTGTTGTCTCTCACTAATACAGATGTAGAAACCCTCGACTTGGGGACAGATATTTGACAGAGTGTGTTTGATTTTTGGTGAGAACGCAGGACATTACTAGACCATAAAAACAGGTAAGAGCCAGAATTCATGTGTTGCATATTGTACTGTTTAATTTCAGTTTACCACAGTTTATACATATGATATTATTTTTTGGTTCCTGCCAGGTTTTAAAGCCAAAAGTATTTAAAACTGTTTCCACCAAAAAACTGCTTCTGCCTTCCAAAAAGAACTACTGTATAACTAATATTCCAAAAAGGACACATGATTAGCAGGTTACAGGTTATTCTAGTCTGTTGTTGATTTGACAAACATATAAACTGCTGTTGACTTTCCTCTCATTACACAGTATTACAGGAGAAAGTATTATGATACCATGATGGAAATACTTGTGTCTTTAGGATTTTTTTTTGTTTTGTTCCAGTACCATAATGTCAGGTCTCAGTTGGGCTGGATTGCAAAAACTAGCAAACCTGCAACAAGCGGATGTTCAGAAGTCTTGACTAATTGTTCAATGATATTCTTAAATTAAGAAGTTATTTTAAATTCATTTGTATCAGTCACAAAGGTCAACAGCCAAACAAGACACTTATTTGACTTGATGCTGTTTTTCAAGCGCACGAAATGTTCAAGTCAGTCAACAGAAGGGACGGTGGCCAGAAGGAGCAGGAGGAGGCGGTGCAGCTGCGGAGGGAGATAGGCCTCCTGTCGGCCACATCCCTCATCATCGGGACAGTGGTGGGCAGTGGCATCTTCATCGCACCTAAAGGAGTCCTGATGAACAGTGGCAGCGTGGGTCTGTCCCTGCTGGTGTGGGCTCTGTGTGGAGTTCTGTCGCTGTTTGGTGAGCGAATCTGTTGCTGTAGAAAACGCCCGTTAAAAGGAAATGTAACTTTTTCTCAGTTTTGGATAACTTTCCTGCATTCTTGAGCTTTCAAGGTTAGCTAATTTTAGTTTACTTAAGCTTTGTACTTTGTACTTTGTACTTTGTACTAAGCTATCTCTTCAATATCGGGTAAAGTGGAGCTTCAAGATACAAGCTCCCTGAAATATGGGTTTTCCAAGTTACGAGTAAGCAACTTTTACAAGATTGTCCTCGTGTTGCGAGGAAACATAGTTACGAGTTTTCCACTAAAAACCATTCATTCGTTTTTAGTTATTTTTAATGGGGAAAATGAAATCAAGATATGAGTGGAACAACACATGAGTGCTGTTGTGGAATGAATTAAACTCGTATCTTGAAGCCCCACTTTTATACAACAATTTATACAACAAATGTCCTATCATCCTGTGGCTAACCTTTAGCTTTTCGTGGCTAAAGTGGCAGGGTTTCGGTTATGTGTTTTGCCAATGAACACATCCATCCATCCATCCATCCATTTTCATCCGCTTATCCGTTACCGGGTTGCGGGGGAAGCAGTCGCCACCCAAATCACATTGCACCGTACCTAAACCTTCCTGCGGGTGGTGAGTCCACTGGAAGGTATTAACCGCCCTAACCGGGATTCGAACTTGCCCAGGAGGTGAACCCTGGGGTTCCACACCAATGACAGAGACATTGCCTCTGGGCCAAAGCGCCACTCCAATGAACACACTGGAACGTAAACCAAACAAAATTACCTTTCACCAAATAAAACAAGTTCAGACTGACTCTCATTCTTCTTCTTCTTGTCTTCCTGCCATTAGGAGCTTTGTGTTTCGCAGAACTTGGCACCAGTTTTACTAAATCAGGAGGTCAGTACACGTATCTGCTGGAGATCTTTGGGCCTCTGCCTGCTTTTGTAAGACTGTGGGTTGACTTTATGTTCATCAGGTCAGTTTGTGCCTTTTCAAAACACCCTGTTGGCGTCGGTAAAATAGCCTGAAAGTAACAGTATTTTACTCTTTCAGGCCTTCGGTGACAGGGTACGTGTCCTTGGCTTTTGGCAGCTACATGGTGGAGCCATTCTTTACTCCCTGCGCTGCCCCCGCTGCTTTAGTCAAACTCGTTAGCATCCTTGGAGTCAGTAAGTAGTTTTTACTCTTCCTTTTTCTTCCCATTATTCCATTATAAACCCGAAGCAGAGGCTTGCAAACACTTGAAACATAAAAATATATGAAAAAAACCTTCGGTCAAAAAATAACTTCCCTTTTTTAAGGTAGATGGGTGATTAAAATGAGTCAAGGTTTTAGTACTTAATCCTTTTTCCAAAATCTTTTGAAAGAAGTCAGAGATAACTCCTGGCTGAGGAGCATAATTGGCCCCATACCCATAGTTCGGACATGTCTGATTGTGTCGGCTTTAACTTCGGTCTTGTCTTCGCAGCTTTAATTGTCACCATCAACTGCTGGAGTGTAACCGTGGCTTCTCGCACCCAGATCGTTCTGACTTTTGTGAAGTTGTTTGCTCTGGTTATGATCATCATCCCTGGAGTCATCGCGTTAAGCCGAGGTGAGAGGAACTGAATGGAATTTTGAGCTGATGCATCACTGAAGCATCACTGACTCGGTTTCTTACTTTGCATTAAAAAAATCGTTCCAGGACAGACAGAAAATTTCCAGAATGGTTTCGAGGTGGAGTCACTGACACTGGACAGGTTGCCCTTGGCCTTCTATAACGGTCTATATGCCTACGGTGGATGGTAAAGAGCACTGATGAGTGATGGGTTATTTAATACAAGATAAGCTAAGCTAATCATCTTTTCCAGGTTTTATCTGAACTGTGTCACAGAAGAAGTCATTAATCCAAACAGGTTGGTTTCTAGTTGTGGTCCAGCAATGTATGTTTCCCGGTGACAACGTAGTTATAGCACCTTTCTGTGTATGTGTCCTGTGCTTAGAAACATACCGCTAGCCATAGCCCTGTCCATGGTGATGGTGACGATCCTGTACGTGCTCACCAACGTGGCCTACTACACCATGATGACTCCTGCTGAGCTGCTCATGTCTGACGCGGTGGCTGTGGTCAGTGATGGCAGAGTTTAGGATTCCTTTCCCACAATCCTCTGATTACTAGCATGGTCTCTAACTTGTGTCTCCTCAGACTTTTGCTAACAGAGCTATCCAGACCTTTGCGCCTGTGGTTCCTCTTCTTGTGGCCCTGTCGTGTCTAGGAGCGCTCAATGGTGGCATTTTCGGATCACCCAGGTGTCTGATCACCCAATAGTAACACTGCATAAAATTTACTGTAAATTTCTCCGATATCATTTTTGGTTTCGTTGTAATTTTAGCTTTGGCTAACCATTAGGAATCATTTTGGCTTATTTCCTTCCATTTTTGATTAATTTGTAATAATAGTGATTTTGCTAATTGTGGTAAGGATAAAAATTAGTCTAATTAAGCAAGTCCAATTAAGTTATTATGAAATTTACCTGATTACAAAATCAAATGTTTATACCAGTTAAATGTTTTATGATGATATGATGTTTTATGGTATAAAGTTATTGGATGAGCAGGTAGTGTTTAGTGTTTGGTATGTTTAGCCAGTATGATATAATGTTCATTCTTCCTGATTGGCTGTGGGGCAGGATGCTGTTTGTAGGAGGCAGAGACAATCTATGGCCGCGGATCTTTTCCATGATTCACATCCGTAGACGAACACCTCTGCCTGCTGTGATGCTACAGGTAACATTTTTGTTTGTTTGTTTTTAAAGGGGTCTAACAAGCAAAATGGACTTTGTGTCTGCCTTCTTCAGTAGACCAGTGTTTCCCTATCTTTCTTTTGCCAGGCACATATTTTACATTTACAAAATTTAATAAGGAATACCATAGCATACCAATCAAAAAAAAAAAAAAAAATCAGAAAGAATGTAATAGTAATTAATGTCTTCTAGTTTCCTTTTACACGCATTTTACCCACTCACTGTTTAGTTGAACACAGCGCTCATGTTCTCTCAGGAATTGAAGAAAGATCCACATAAAGATCTTCTTCAAAACCTGACTCTGTCTTTTTGCAGTTTTTAGAGCCGCCACCTAGTGGAGTATTTACCTGTTTTGTCATAGCATGGACATATTTAGACAAATTATTTGCAGAAAATAAATAGCAGAGTGGATGATTACAATTCCGTTCACGGTCTCCACCACCACTCCACGTGTACTAGACCAGGCCACTTAGACCAGGCATGGCCAACCTGCGGCACATTCAGCTCTTTGTCCGGTTTCATGCGGCTCTTACGTTCATGACGAATTTTGTGTTTTTTTTCAGGCTATGTGAATCTCATGGCGATGGGCGTTAGCGCAAATTACTTAGGTAAAACCCAATTCCCATTTTTTTATTTCATAGAGATGGGGCAGTTCATGTGTGCTCATGTATGTCATGTGGCTCTTTGCAGTCTCTTGACTGGTTGGCCACCCCTGACTTAAACAGTTAAATCACAGTTTATCGTCTAGCAGCCACTGTTGTCATGGTTACATGAAGGTCCCCTCAGTTACTGTATTCCCCCCACAAAGGAGCTGCGCAGAGCACACAGTAACTCACTACCACTCTAAGGTAAAGGCAAAGAAACCACCCACTGAGAACAAAGAGGTGTGTAAATAATCTAGCTGTTCTCAATCCTTCAGTTTTTCATCAAAAGTCAAGTGAGAGCCTCTGACCCTGGTGTTACAGCAGAATAGTCAAGTGAGAGCCTCTGACCCTGGTGCAGAACACAGGAAATTGCCAAGTTAAAACATGATGTTTTTTAAGTATCCTCTGACAGTTGTGATGATACTGAGCGGAGAAATCTACCAGCTTGTGAACTTCGCCTCCTTTTCCCGCTGGCTCTTCATCGCCTTAGCAACGCTGGGGATGCTCATCCATCGCAAACGCTTCCCTCTGCACCCAAGACCTTTCAAAGTAAGACTGTCACTACACTCTACATGTCCAGAACTGCAGAGTCCAGTGTGTTATTTGTTTTTCTGACCCCTAGGTCCCTCTGGTCGTGGCTGTAACTTTTACATTGGTTTGTTTCTTCATCGTGATACTGTCGCTCTACTCCGACCCCTTCAACACGGGCTGCAGTCTTGCCCTCACACTGACCGGCATCCCAGTTTACTACATCACCATCTACAGGCCGTCTTGTATACCTAATAAATGCAAACATCTCTTCAGTAAGTCAGGGATCTCTAAACTCACAGCTGCTCGTATCTCGAGGTTCCAAAGGTAGCATGGTCAAACCCTTTCTAAAATTTTGCATTGATCTGTCACTTTTCCAGACTACTGCAGCAGACAGCTTCAGATCCTGTTGGAGGTGGCTCAACAAGAGGTGAAGACCTACTGAAGGGGACAGACAACAGTGGCTGTCGTTGATGTTCTTTGTTCTTAGGAATTTATGCATTTAAAAGAAATTATTAGACAAAAAAATCTGCCAAGTCAAGATTCTACATCAGAGGATTCCTAAGTTTGAAGCATATCTCTCCAGAGGGGGGCGCCAAAGGACATTAGAGAAGGACCAAAATGAGGCAGGTGTGGCGTACGTAAACTAGCAAACTTACCTCCAGAGAACTGGATGGATTTGTTCCTGGTACAGTGAGAAAATGGGGACTCTACACTGTATGACAATGGCTAGTTAAAGCATTGGTTCCCAGAACGGGGGGCGGACCCCTCCTAGAGGGCAGCAAGGCAAATTAAACTTTATTTTCCTTTTTGTTTAATGAGAATAGAAATTATTGCAATTAGGTCACTTGACTCCTGAGTTAGTTAAATAAAAAAGGCAAATTATCATTCATAAAGCACAGAATGCTTTTGTTCCTTTTTGCAACATGAAAACGCAAATAATACTTAATACATCAATTGTTTATGATGTATGCAATGGGGTGTGAAGAAAAAAAGGTAGAGAAATTGCGTTTGAAGTCAAATGATGACAGTTTTATTGTAAAGTCATTCAAACAAGAGCAAAGCTGTTTTCAAGGCTGTTTGATAAAATTCATAAATGTACAATCAACAAAAAAAAACTCTCCTACTGTTAAAAAGTGCTCTGAAGATGGATCTGACTAAAGAGCACGACCGCGAGAGTCAGAGACGAAACACGAAGTTCAAAAATAAATCTACACAAACAGTCCTGTCGCTGGTTGTACTTGTAGTTTGGTGTTGGTTAACCACTACTTTTTTTTTATCTTATTGCTAACAATCCTACATTCAAATCTAACAGCTGACCGACCCACAAATCTGGAACACAGCACGTCAACACTGGTAAAAGCTAAACAAATATATATATATTAAATTGTGCAAATCAACATACATAAACATTTAAACACATTTCTCCCCAACAGAGTCAGTTCCTTCAAACCTACTGACACGACTGGTAGGAAGCTTTAAAATGACATCGGAAATCATTTCCAACCCGCACTAAAAATCTATGGCATAAATACTAGGAGAAGACGAGTGAGGCAGGAAGTACAGGAAGCTTTTCCAACCAGGTCATTACAATTAAAGTGTGCTTGGTAAAAAAAAAAAAAAAACTCAAACAAAAAACCTATAAAACTATTTTCTAATCTCTAACAGCAGCTAGGGTGGTTTGAAGCAAACGAAGCAGATGCAATACGTAGCGATTTCGACTTTTTTTTCCTACGCAAATCTTAGAACAAGCAACAAAAGCAGACATTTACGTCCAGTAGATGTAGTCAGTTTTCATTGTAGGGGTTAGACTTTTTTTGGAAAGCGAGTCACCCAATTTTTGGATGACAGGAAAACTAGTGAGCGATTCTGGCATGCTATCATGTTTTGCTCTGAGCAAGTAAGATCTACAGCAGATGACAAGTATGACGTGTAAACATTGGCAAAGCTGCCAATGTTTTAGATTTAGATTTCTACAGAATCTAAGATTACAATATTTAACCCTGGTGTTCCATGACAACTATAAATACCACTCTGCCAGCATAAGAGTACCTGCTAGCTTAGTAATCATCAAATATTTCAACAGGAATAGTAAAATAGTAAAAAACTTTTGTAATCATTGTAAGACATTTTAGGTAAATCTGCAAAGCTTTGTGTGTAAAGATCGCCCCTGGGTGGTCTAAATAAAATGTTCATTATGAATTCGCAGTGCTTTGGGAAAGTATTTAAGATTAGGAGGACTTTTTTTTGTCTGAACAAGTACAACTCTTAAGGTGGAAATCTCCAGATGCGGTGTGCAGATATTACGATCTTCCACTATGGTGTTCCTTGAGATCCATTAATCTTTCTGTGCCTGTGTAAGACCAATGTGCTACAGTATGAAATAACATTTAACTTAATGTGTCCTGTACTGGCGATATTTGCATGCCTTTCCTTTAGCTTTTGTAAAAATATTGATGGAGCCATTAGTTTGTGAAATTCTTACATTTGCACCTGCTTTGTGTTTCTGTGCGTCCTTTACTGCTCATAGTGTTTAAAAAAAAAACACCCCACAGTCCTCTGGACCTTTGTTCTGCCCGTTACATAAACTGAGGGATGATCTCAGACCAGCTGATGTTTGCTACGCCCAGCTCCTCATCCTCCAACCCTGAGAAGCTGATGTCCACGAGAATCTTGCTCAGGCTGTCGTTCATCGTGTTCAGGACCAGGCCCTCAGTGAACGAGTGGTTTGTCGGTGAGGTTCCTTCTATGAGAGGTAGCGTTCCTAGACAAGTGCTATGAAGGTCTTCGACGGATGGGTCCCCTGGACCTGTGGTTCTGGAGGGACCAGGTGGTAAAATCTCTCTGGGGGAGTTGAAGAGGGGCCAGTCTTTGAAGGGAGTGCCGTTGAAGCTGAATGTGTTGTATTCATGCCGTGGGGTGACGGCGGGGCCCCCTGGTGTACGGATAGGGCTAAAATCCAGAATGTTTTGGCTTCCTTTGCCCACTGGTGTCACTTTCCAGGGCTCGGGTACGACGGTAGAAGGGGGTTTGCTGGGCGTGGAAGAAATCAGTTGGCTGCTGGCTTTTATGGGGGTCTTAAAGGAGAATTCCTGATCGATGCTTTGCTGCGGAAAACGCTGCTCGTCCTCCTCTGTATCTTGCATGCTGTGTGAAATAGAGGCGTCAGAAGCGACACCGGAGTCGAAGAGGGTGCTGTCAGGACAGAGGAGGACGGGCTCCTCGTGTTGAGAGTGGACCAGTTGCTGTTTGCGCCGTGACCTGCTGGCTTGTGTCTTTGGAAAGGCTTTAGGGCACACACCAATGACTGGAGCACTCGCCGGCTCCCTCCTAAAGTCAAGATTGTCGCTTTTTGTGACCTGTCAGACGCACAAATACATTTGTTTTACGCAACGCTTTCCTTGTACATTTTTCAAGGAAGTTCTAGTTCCATTTTGAAGCATAACTTGAAGCTGGATCAAGATTAAACATTCAATGCAAATAGGCCTGAGCTGTTTTACTCGTAGAGTTTTAATTTCTCTATGTTGTGCTAAGTCTCAGGTTTCTGTTTTTGAAAAACTGTGGCTTACTGCAAGCCTTCTTTTAAGCCATTATTTGGCAAACGCTTAACTAGACAAAAAACGTTTTTGTGGCAGTACTGAACCAGAAACTCAACATCAGGGTTTTTACCTTAGGAGCAATCCGAACTTTCTTGGCTGATCGCACAACGTTCCGTTTCGGCTGTGAGGCGCAAGGGGTGTGAGGGGCTGACGATGGAGACAGGTAGATAGGTGAGCTGATGGGGAGCTGAATGGGCACCAGGTAGGAATCAGTTCGAGGGAGAAGAGGTTTCATTCTTCTCTCTGGGCAGAGAAATGACAAAAACTATGTTAATTAAGGAAAAAAATCAAAACATGCCTTGTTAGAATTGAAACATCCCTCAGTTTAAATCAACTCACCGGGGACAGTTGTGGTCTTTCTGACATCAGGCACCACCCCCCTGTGTAGCTGTGAAAATTATTGAAAGGATTAGCATAGTCTCTAAATGCTAACCATAGTAGCAAAAAAGATTCTCTACAGTTTCTGACTCCATAGGACAATAAGGGAGTTATTAGGTGACCAAAGTTTTTGGTGGGCAATAATTAGTCATTCTGCCAGAATCTTAGTTCGTTATATCACAAGCTGCTTTCACCTTCTTTGGATCCATTAAAAAATCAACAAGTTTAAAATAAATGTACTTGTCCTATGTCCTAGTAGTGTTTCAGAGACATGCCAGTCCTACCTGGTTTGGATATGAAAGCACTGACACTGGGACAGGAGCAGTCCTTGGATCAGAACCAGTCTGTTAAAAACAAACAAAAAATAAACACAGTGAATAAAGACAGTATAATTTACACTCAAATACTCAAAACATTATGAGTGATTTTCTCACCGTATAGACCTGATCTAGAGTCAGACATCGGTTCACCTCAGGCCGGATGGTCCAGAAAGAAACCTTTCCATTTGCTGAAGTCTCGCGGGAGAACATGTCGTGTAAGGAGAGGTTATGACGGATGGAATTCTGGGAAAAAAAAAAAAAAGACGGGGCAATGATGTCGTATTAGTGTTCCATATTGACGAAATGTCACAAAGTCTGGCTGGATGGAAAAGCTTCCTGTACTTCCTATTGACGAAATGTCACAAAGTCTGGCTCGGGGACCAATCGTGGCACTTTATGTGACCCACGATTTTTAATTTGTAGTTTTTGAAAGGTCTGAGATAAACTAGGTTGTGATCTTTACTCAAACACTGTAGGCGAAAAACATTTTCGAAAATCTTATCACTCCCAAACACTGCCCTAAGGCACTGTTTAGGAGTGATAGGATTTAAGTAAACATCCAGCCTCTTTTGGCAACTTGCTGCTGTTGGCAAAAGCTTGTTTACTTTTTGAATAGAATTATAAGCAGATTAAAGCCACTTGTTTTCTTAATCAACTCTTTCGGAGTTTGTGCTGATAAAATATTACGTAATTGCAGATTTAAAAGAAATACCTTCCACCCAGGTTTGGCCACCTTCCTGAAGTACGGGAAGTGATCCTCGATCCAGGTGTAAATCTCTTTCAGAGTCATCCTCCTGTCCTCCTTGCTGTTGATGGCAAACTGGATAATGGCCATGTAAGAGTACGGAGGCCTCTCAGACTCAGGCTCAACTTGGTCAAGTACCGCCTGCGTCCTCATATTATGTGCCTTAAAAAAAACACAATGGAGTACTTTTTTTTTTTACATATTTGCAACAAAACAACATGAAAATTACATTCATTTTCAAAAATTAATTTCCATTAATATGACATGGTGTTTAACCTGTTTAGTCAGTGGCCCTTTAGCCAATAATACATTTCAAGGCTCTTCTAATTGAACAAATTTAATTAATCAAACAAATGGGATTCAAATGTTATTGATAGTTTTTAAAAGGCAATACCTAAGATTATTGTAACAATTTTCAAGGTTAAATGATGATGTCACAACGGCACTTTCATTTTCTCTTTTGAATTTTCTGTTATTTGATGTTATTGATTTTGTCACATTATGACTTGACAAATTAACTTTCAGAAAACACAGGTTTTACAATGGTGTGAGAGTCACTGACCACCGAGAGAAGACAGACCTGTAAAACGTCTGAGTCCTGATTTTCATTCTCTTTGTCCTCACTGGGTTCCTCTTTGAAGGGCGGTGTGTGGATTTCGCCCAGCTGCTGATTACTGGGGAGGATGTCGTCTGATTGGTTCCAGTCCTCTTCTTTTTTCACTGACAAAAAAAAAAAAAGTTTGTGTTTTAAGAAAGATTACATGTCATTACAAAATGGGCATTAGTAGGAACGTTGTCTTATTTCTTTGTACATGGTTTTACATCAAGAGAAGGTTTAAAATTACCGATGGTGAGCAAAGTTTCCATTCTCTCTGCTGGTCCATCTGTACAGTTTTGGGAGACATTGTCCTCCATTTGATCTGTGTGCTGTCTACTGTTGCTGCTATTCTCACTCAGAAGAATGAATTTATTCGGCCCCTGAGTGCCGCTCTCTTTGCCTTTGGCAGAGAGGGCCTCAATGACAGTTTGGAGGTCAGCTTCTTTGGGAATGACCACTACCTGAGTGTCAGACATGGAGGGGTGATTCATGATACGAACCCCGTCGGGGAAGCACTGACTAGTTGATGCCAAGTTGGAAATTTCCTTAGCGCCAGACGCAGCAGACTGGCTTTGAGATTTAGTTGGTGGGCCGTCATTCTGCTGAAAAGGTAACTTCCTCCTCCTGAGGATCAGGGGTCTCCTTGGGCTGCGTCGCATAGTCAACGGGTTAGTCAAATTTCCTTTGATCTGAACAGGAAATCTACACAAAACAAGCACAGAAGAAGAGAGTTGTATTTGTTAAAAAACACAACCAATCAACCAAAGGTACATTTATATTTATTTGGAGGTAAGGCATAAAACCCGAATATTATCCCACCAACAGGACTTAAATACAACAGAATAGATTCAGTATATTTAGAACATTTTAAGGAGTAAAATAGTGCAAAACAAATACTGCATTGAGCAGCTGAAGTCTGTTGTGTTCCGAATCTTCTTCAAAGAATCAGAACACAAATCTCATCAAATCAATTATAATCGTTGAATGACAAAGCAGAGGCAACACTTACCAGTCAAAACAGCCTATATGATGCGTTTAACTATTGCAATAATATAGCATTGAGTTAAATAAGTTAGATAAACAACTGCTGTTTCTTTTTGTTTCATCAGATGGGTTAAAAGCAGAGGCTCAGTTTCGTTGTATCCCCGTGGTACAATGCCAATACAGCTCATTAAAAAAAAAAAAATCACGTTGAAATAATTTAATTCAAGAACAACGGTTTTCTGTTATGTAACGTTCACGGCCAACCGCGACGTGGAAATTATAACGTCGTGATTAACAGCAACGGTTTTATTGTTTACGTGACATGCCGAATTGAATTGTTTTTACACATCCATTTTCTACGACTCATATTAAATTATTCGATTATCTGAAATATTACATATCAAGGTGGTGTTGCAAAAAAAATTATAACATTTTACACAAATAAATGTCAGTTACTGCATTGCTAAATCAACGACTGCTATTTGTAAAAAATAAATAAATAAAACCATACAAACAAAATAAAAAACCAAGCACAAGCAGAAAAATCTGTTTTGTTCGTTCACACTAAGCGCTTATTTGAAAAGCTTTGTTAAAGCCAAGGTTTGACTAAAGCTTAGCAAGGTTAGCAGCGGAGCTAAGTTGACAATACGGCTAAGACATCTCCATGCTTAGGAATAAGTCAGAACAAACCTTCACATTACTCCAATATTGCAGGTGATTCCATTTGAGCTTCGGTAATCAGACACTTTGGAGTTCGCGC